CTTTAAAAACAAATCTAAATTTAGATTACAAAATTAAAACAATTGAAAGAGATCTAATAGATATGGAAATAGCAATTAAAAAACAAAACGATGATGTTCAAGATCCAATGAGATTTAATTTCATTCACGAATTTGATAAATTAGGTAACAACACTATGAACAAAACAACAAAATCAGAAACAAGAGAAAACATAACACTAATTGAATCCATAACAGACAAATTGAAAGAAAATAATTCAATCATAACTAAAGCTGATAAAAGCAACTCAGTTGTTATAATATCTAAAAATGAATACGACAACAAAGTTAAAACTTTCATAGAAAACAATGAATATAAAATTTTAACGAAAGACCCAACAGATGAATTTTCAAAAGCAATAAATGATACTATAACGAAATGCAAAAGTATCAATAAGAAAGATAAAATCCTATTAAAAGCAACAAATTCAAAAGCACCAAATTTAAGAGGACAGCCCAAAACCCACAAAAAAGACATACCAATTCGACCTGTAGTAAACTTCATAAATTCACCTTCATACAAACTATCAAAATACTTAAACAACAAAATCAAAAATAATGTAAATTTAGAATCTGATTCTTCTTTGAAAAACACCCAAGATCTTGTCAACAAAATTAAAGATATAGATATTCCTAGCGATGTTTTACTCTTATCTTTTGATGTAAACAATATGTATACGAATATTCCAACCAAAGAAACATTATCTATATTGAAAAGAAACCTAATAAACCACAACAAATTGAAAATAAATGAAATAAATGATATTATCAAACTTACAGAGGTAACTGTTAAGCAAAATTACTTTAGTTATGATTCGTCTTTCTATCTTCAAGAAGATGGTCTACCAATGGGATCTCCCCTTTCAGGACTTTTATCAGAAATCTTTATGACAGAAATGGAAAAATCCAAAATTATTAATGACACAAATCCATTCATAAACAACATTGTTTATTGGTACAGATATGTAGATGACATTTTATGCTTATTTAAAGGAAATGACAATGAATCTGAACAATTATTAACGTATCTCAACAATATTAATAAGAAAATTAAATTCACCAAAGAAACCCAACAAAAAGAAATCAATTTCCTAGATCTAACAATTTCCATTCAAAACAACAAACATTCTTTTAACATATTCAGAAAACCCACAACTACAGACATAATAATTCCAAAACATTCGAATCATCCATGGACACACAAAATTGCAACTTTTCATTCATTAATACACAGATTAGTCAACGTTCCTTTAAATAAAGAAAATTACAAGAAAGAAGTCGACACTGTAAAATATCTAGCTGAAAAAAATGGATATAGAAGCAAAATGATTGATAATATGATCAAGAAGAAAATTAAGAAAAGAAATGAATTAAAATCAAACTTAGAAAACAATTCGAAACACAAAGAAGAAAAGAAATTCATGTGCGTCCCATACAACAACAATTTTAACAAAGCAATCAGGAAAACATTCAAACATACCCCAGTAAAATTAAGCTACAGAACAAAAAATAACATTTTTAAAATCATACAAAATAAAACCAACAATCCTATAACAAACAATACAGCAAATATATACAATGCATCTGGTATCTACAAAATTAAATGTTCTGACTGTGACAACTACTACATTGGACAAACCTATCGAAATTTTAAAGTTAGATTCAACGAACATATACAGGCATATAAATCGAAGAACAAAACATCAATGAAATCAAATTTTGCAGATCATTTACTAAAATCCAAACATAAGTTTACTAAGATCGAAGAAAACTTAACAATATTAGAAATTGAAAAAGACAGAGAAAAATTGAATGTAAAAGAAGAAATTAATATTTATATGAACTACAAAAATAACAAATCAAACATTTTAAATACAATGATTCCAAAATTGAATAATCCAATATATGAAAAAATAGCAAAATTGAGAAAATATTAATGAAAATAAGTACAACACATCATATAGTATATAAATTAATCAATGAAGACAAAATTATGTTACAAGTTAGAAAAGTTTTATAATATCATATGTTATTTATTTATTTACATAACTTATTTTGATTTTTGTTTACTTTGAAAATGGCCTTAGAGCCGAAACTATAGTCAGTAAATATTTTAATAAATAATTTTACTTGGGTACTAAGTTTATTAATGTTTAATCTTTATTTATATATAGTAGCCCTATTTTTCTATTTTTCATATATATATATATATATATATAAAAATTTATATATGTGTCCGTAAGCACAATAACTCAAGCAAAAATGATTGGTATAAACGTGTAAACCTTATTCAAACAAGTTTGCGAACAAGCATGATCGGACTATGGGAACGGGGTTTTATGGGGTGAAATTTGGTTTTCCCGTTTTTGACCCAGAAAACATGAAATTTAGCAATTTCTTTCCAAACCACTTTGTAGAGCTTAAAAAAACAAACATGGTGTCGTCACACACGTCTCTCCGGTTTTCGTAGTTTTATATTCTTTTTCCGTGATTTTGTCGTGTTCGAGTGAATGTGTTCTCAATTTAAACGACAGAGCTAGCCAAATCGATTAGATGACTTGATTGATGTTTTTGTTTCACCTGATAATGGACTCGTATAGATGTCCAAAACTATTGTGGTGTACTACTGAAAAAACCCATCTCTTAACGAAGACAGGTAACACAAACCATAAAGTTAAATTTAGTGATCTAGAGGCTACTTTTCACCACTACACAACCAAGACCATTAGGTCATAACCGATCTCCAAAGAATCGTAGCGGCAAGAAATTAAAAGGCGAAAATGTGGTTCGCATTCCACTATAAACTGTAGATTCTTTAGTTGCCATTGGCTGTATGGGCTTTTAATTAACAGTTCTGTCTAAGGAATATGTCGGCCTTAGTCACTAACAAGACTACAAGATCACACCACTCATCCTACACTTATCTCCATTCATACTTGGCTTAAAATACCTACATTTGTATGGTCGCCATTTCAAAGTAATTAAAGAATGATACTTTATACCCATAATCAGAATGAAATGTGTATTTTTAAATTCACTATTTTTTTTAGATGCAAGGCATAACAACATACAATCATCATAGGTATTTACAATATTTTTAGATTATCCTACGTACGATAGTACTTAATAAAAAACTAAAACATAACTCACGACTCACAAGATATAAAAAGCAGTAAACGTTAATCAGCCTAGAAGAAGTACCGGTTACTTACTACTGTACTGTAAAGTAAACATTTTCCCCCTAGCAACAGGTCCGATATCCACGTTACATTATATCTGAAATATTGTCTTCACAAGCTTTATGTGTTACCATCATGTCGAACTTACAAATATCGGATTATCAAGATCGGACTGCAATCAAGTAAGGATTTAAAAATCATTGCCGAGTGCCTTGATTAATTGGTTATCCAGCCATCCATGTTATCCGAACCACCCTAATCGAGTAATGTAAAATTGTGAGCTATTTTCATGTGACATGACTGTACACCATTGTAGATACATGGAGATAATTCCTTTTGCCACTTATGTAATATCACAAAACAGCAAGGCTATAAGCACACATTCTTTTCGTTTAAGCATACCCGGTTAGTCATATTGTCAACTCCACTTGTTCATTACCAATCTCAATCTCGTATTCCTCACTTCACTGTCACAGCGTAAACAGAAAACTGTGACTGATTGGACAAGTAACGCTTTTATCTTATATTTTAGTTACATAGGCCTATCATTGTGGAAGTGTTACTGTGACTGTTGTTTTTGATGGGATTTGAGACAGTGTCTTCATAGCGGAGAAAGTCAATTCAGCGGGTAGTTTTTTAGGTAAGGGGCGTTTCTACAAATAGATTCCTTGTTCACATGTGCGCTGCAATGAGGCTCCTCACAGATTCACCATTGGTTATCCTCTCCGCATCGGCATAATTTGTGCACACAATGATGCCATTTGCAGTTCTTTAGCTGGTGTGTACACTTTGCTATGTGCCTAGAAAATGTTTAAAGTCATTGAATCTCTCACTGCAATAAGGTCAGTGGTATGTTTTTTGACTGTAAGAAACATATCCTCTAGTAGTAATTTATATTGTGATCAGGAGGCAAAAAACAACAAAAAATGATATTAGATACAGGCATTCATTGCCAGATGATTTAAGGTTATGGAACACTGAGTTTAGGTTAAGTGCAGACACGGGCTAAGGAGTAAATGGATAGTGTCCATTTCGGAAGGAATTGTGATTTTGGTGAGAACCCAGGCTTCTCACAGAGAACATAAAGTAAAAAGGTTCTACAAAAATTTTTACATCCCGAATGCATTCCCTCACTCGTTGCATTAGGGCCATAACCTTTCGTCAATCTGACTTGGCGATGAATGTCAGCATTGGATATGATCCTGTGTTAACAAATTGTATCACTGGCCTTACCTCACGTGGAGGGAGATTTAATAATTTGTAAAATTGTTCAAACACACAGCAAAAAGTAATTGTTAGCTACAGAGCTGCAAATCGCTCCTTCCTGTTCACAAATGATAGCCTACTAGGAAGAGGCGAGGAGCCTCGTTTTGGCTTACATGTGAACTAAGAAGCTGTACGCACAAACAGCCCTTGCTTAAAAATGACCCACATATGTTCAATAACATTGATGGATTAGCCACTTGAAGATGGCAGGCCACTTTAAAAGCCACAATGGAAAAACTTTATTGACAGCCACCCTCTCCGTCCATTATGTAGGAGTCATGATGGTCAGAAAATTTCACCGTGACCTGTTGGTACTGAAGTACCAGTACCAACATTTTAACGTCTCGGGATCAATACTTTTCCTTCAGTACCTACTGACTTTGCATTATAAACAATCAAAAGCATCGTACAAGTATGCCAAAGGAACAACAGTCGATGGTTTTGCTTATTTGATCTTGCCGCAGCTGGTTTGGGTTGGCGACACAAACGTTTATATGGTAAATTTACTTTAACATAGAAAAGAGAAAATCGACTCACCCATAACGCCGAGCTGCTGTGGTGACAAGAGTGTAGTATCCCCAGGAGCGACACCCGGGAGTGAACCTGACGCAGCGGACATTCTGTCAGACGCACCAGACAACAGCGAACCTTGACGATGTAGACTGCGGACACTGGGGCTGCCACTGCGCCTAGTACTGGCCTGACTAGTCCCATCTGTCATAAAAACACATACACACATAGATTCACAGAAGCATAGTAAGTTACGCAGAATATAGTATACTTTGATTACCCCTACTCAATTTTATATACCACTAAATTTAACTTGCTTGTTGTTACTAACCTTCAGTAGCTCTATCTGTGATTTGAGGTAATGTTTCTTAAATTTTCTGGTTTATAGTTCGGCCATATAAAGTTTCTGTGTGCTCGACCCGATCTGATTGGGTCTAGTTGAAGGGGTTCGTGGGGGTACTTTTGTGAAAACATTTGGGTCTTGCTACTCACTCACCACTACTCCCAGCACTGCCAATAGCCGGTGCCCGTATGTCTTAGTTCAGCTAGAAGCGTCCATCTGTCCACGGGCACAAAAGTTTTGGCCAAACTGTACCTAGGAACTAACGGTACGAAAACTGTCTGTCTTCCAATGTGTAAATGGGCAACTATCCATGATATTGATTAATCATAAGGCTTTTATTGACCATTGGTAAAATAGGTATAGGCTATCAGTGAATTTCCAGGTACTTTTTCATATATTATTCTAGTATTTCCCATAGGATACAAACTTTCAATTGTATAGGTAAATAAACACCAAATAAAAATTGCTTTTATGGATGACTGGACTGACTTGCCTTCATTAACATTCATTCTAGGTTTAGTGGCACTCTTCAATGGGGCTTTCTTGAAAATGTAACGTCTCCTGCGAAGGTATTTTGCCAGTAGGCCCAGTGCTGCAATGCTGCTGAGAGAGATAATAACTATCTGCAAACACATTAATTAAAAATGTATTTTCAGTGTAGGTATAACAACTTTAAGTGCTCTATACATATTATATTTTGAATCACCTGACAATAATAACTGTTTTAGAATAATATCTTTTATATTGTGATCGATGAAAAGTCTGAAGTACTTGCTTTGATTAAGGGGATCCATGCAGTGTGTTAGTAATTTTTTAAAGCATATAATCAAAGTAACTTTGGTTGCAAGAGGAACCAAGACAAGACAGGAGTCAACTTTGAGAGTGCTTCAACAACCTAGGTCCTAAGTAAAGAATAGGCCAAACTTATTAGCCTATTAATTGGGATACCTATTTAAAAACAGTGTTGGAACTCACCTTATGGGATCTTCCTAGGGAAACGTTTTTCCCAGGCAGCATCTCCAATAACTTTTGAAACGTAACTAATACTTGTCCAATCATTTTTGTATTGTTTAGGCGTAATCGTGAATATCAATGCAATGTTTGAGGTTATGTTATACCCGGTAAATAATATTGGCTAAACAATTAAAGAGTGTTTGAGTCTTGAACTAAAGTATTTTTTTAATATTATTAGTCAATGAAGCCATAGAACGAACTAATTTAATCGCGAGAAAAACATTATTCAAACAAAAGGGTTTTAATGTGCGGTGTAAACACTTTGACAGAGAAATTTGGATTTTGGAAACCGTCTGCTATTGCTATGTTTTGTTGCTAAATGGAAAATAGACATCAGCTGATCAGCTGTTTCATTATAACAGGATTTCAGCCGAATTCTCCTAAAGTAAATTTCTTAAAATTAGCGATTCGATGGAAAAAAGTTAATTACCTATATGCTTACTTCATATTTCTGCAAATGGAGGAATGATACGAATGTAATGGGGTTATAGATTTACCACCCAAGAAAATTAATTTATAGAAACCAAATATTTTTAATGGGACTGGATTAAACCGTTAAACCTTTGACTATTAATACAATAGGGGTCTAACTTAGGGGAGGTACGAATGAGGCATTAGTTCAAAATTCCTCCGTGAACAGCGCTGTAGTAGAGAGCACTTTGGCAATGAAGGTTTACTAATACTAATCGCAAAAATCGTTCTGTTCATAAAATAAAATTATAAATGCCTCAAATTCAATTTTATAATTTTTAAAATATAAAATTAAACTATCATAACCTAACCGAACTAACCAAACTTGCTGATAATTAAATAATATAACAAATGTTTAGTAATGAAAAAATAATTCTGTTTATTAAATAAAACTAGAAATTGCTAAATTAAAATTTATAATGACTTATAATAAAATTAAACTGTCATAACCGAACCAAACCAACCAAACTTGCTGATAATGAAAATATCTTGGACAAAAAGTTAGTGCTACCAGCGAGATTCGAACCCGGGACCTTCAGCATATCAGCCCGGCACCACAGATAATATAACCCCATTATCTGTGCCGGCACGCTGACCACTAGACCACCGAGGCCGATGGCCACTGGCCGTATTGTTTCGGTAATGGCATTCCTTCAGCTAATAAGAAGTCCACAGCTGTCATCGTAGCCTCTTCTGTACCTCCCCTGAGTAAATACCATACAATAGTCAATGGTTAAACCTACAAAATGAAAGAGAACCACTACCCAAAGAACCAACTCTTTTTACAGTGACTGTCATCATAGATTAATAATATACTCCCTCACTGCAACTAGAGGGGGCTATGTATCAACTAAAGTAACATGTTTGCAATAATGAAAATTGCCTTTGTAAGATAATATATGACTATAACATAGCCAACTGGGCTGCACTTTACTTGACGTCCTACACTCATTCGAATGAAAATATCGATCGATATATCGATTGCTTCATTCGATATATCGTTTGGTTAGTTAGGTAAGGTTAACCTAACCTAACTAACCAAACGATATATCGAATTAAACAATCGAATGAAAATATTGAATCGAAAAACAATCGAATGAGTGTAGGACGTCAAGTAAAGTGCAGCCGACAACTGTAGTAATGAGCCACTTGTACATTGCACTTGGATTTAGATTGATTACAGCATGTTTAGTTACCATAATACGAAATTGAAAAACCATTGCCTCCTCATTATTTTTCACAGAAACATGACAGTCTTGAAACTTGATTGTGATTTTACATAGTCAATTCATTGTTTAGTGGTCAATATATTTTGATTCTTTACACAATAAACATATTTTCTGGATGAAGAGTAGATATGTGTTCAGGGCTCTCGTAAGCGAGAGCTTGGTAAATTAGTTTTGTATAGTATTGCCGAGCTTTTAATTTCGGTCTGTCTTTCCTAATTGTCTGGCGTATTACTGTAAACTGTATAATATCAGCTGTGAATTATAGCAGACAATTCTGTTACTACTAGTCTGCAGCTACAACTAATCAGAAACGTCAGTTTCTTCATTAGAGTTTTCTCTGTCACTGTCAGTAGTGTCAGTGTCAGTCAGCCATGGATGCTTTCAGAACTCATAGGTTAAAATAAATTTTAAAATAGCCTAATGATTTTGTTTCTCTACAGGTAATTCTGTGTAACAGTTAAAATGTAGGTATGTGTATGAAATAATATTTGGCCGATTTAAACTTTGAGTGTGTAAAGTAAAAATTGTTTCTTGAAAGTGTAATTTCCAAGTCTGTTGATGTCTTTTTAGTACACGTATCTAGTATATTTTCTAACAATACAGCTGTGTATATCTAGGTCTAAGCATTCATAGTTGTTATAATTATTGCAGATAACTGGCTTGGAATTCTTTCCATGATGTTTTATCCTAGAAATATTGATCTGGGTTTTAGATTTTATTACTTGCATTCAAATTGCATACACACCAATATTAGCCTAATGCACCCAGGAAAAGAATAAAGACAAAATGGCAAACACTTCAAGTCCATTTGGCTACAGAAGAGAAGCAGTAAGAGTAAAAGTGATGGTAAGTCTGCCTTTGTCTTTATCAAGTAAATCCATAGTTATCTTATTTAAATAAATGTTTCAGTACGTTCATATCAATTTAGGATCAAAAAATAAAATATCTACCTATATATCGAAAAGAAATCATCGATAATAATTAATGTTCCCTGTAACAGGACAGTAGGCCTACCGTTAAGTAGGTACAGGTGGTTAAAAGATACAGATTAACCTGATACAGGTAAAGATACAGATACAGGTGGTTGTTTTTAAGACAGGTGGTTAAAAGTCTTAAAAGGACTGCAGTCTGTGACTATGGATTATTATAGCACTTCGCAACTACTTTCTGCTAAAAAGTGGCGCATCCTCAGTCTATTAGGTAGTTATTTGAATCAATGTTTCCATACACAGGATAACCAAAAGTTTAGACTAGGCTATAAGCTCTAACAGAATGTGGGATGATACAGGATTTTTGGCCATGACGCTTAATTTTCTGTATTTTGCTGTTTTCCAAAGTAGCAAAGTTTAAAGAGCTATTTTTGAACAAGATATGTCAAAAAGTTCTTTTTGGATAGAACAGGAAAACTCAAGGTGGAATAAAACAGGATTTTCCATTATCTTAAAGCGGGATAAAATGGGAAACACTATGACTTTGATTTATATTCACCGTAGGCCTAGTCTTGTTCTGCTAAAGAGTGTTGATTGAAAAACATATTACTTTTCACTCAAAAAGTCTAAAAGTACACACATTCATACATGCACTTATTCTACTTAAACATTAATCTGCTTATTTTAAAAATGTAACCCTGGCAGAAGTTTAGTTTGCATTATCTTTTAATGTAGTTGTAATACTGGGCCGTTACATAGTGAGCTACATACAATAAACACTTAAGATTCTAGACTATTGTTTGGCCTAATTATTTTTTTGAAACTGTAAATGTATAATCTAAATGACTCTTAAAATTTTAGGTTTTCATCAGATTTAAGTCTAGGTTTTTTGTCACAATTTTTTTTTCTTTTGCAGAAATGTGAAGGTGTATTGCCTCCGGAGTATAGGAAGTTCAGTGTAGACCCTCAAATCACTTCATTTGAAGTGCTGCAAAGTATTCTAGCAAAAGCATTCGATATTAAAGGGTAAGTGTGTTAAATATAAAGTTAAGTTAAGATGGTGGGAGTATTTAAGCTAAACACATACCTAACAAAGCTAATCTGAAAGATCGAGGTAAATTTGTATTGATCCATGGAGAAAATGGAGATCAAATATTGTGTTTAATAATATTAAAAGGTATGCACATAAATTGAATCAAGGTTCAATTGGCAAAGGTCTCTTTGCCAAACAAATACAACGACTATCCTATTTAAATCTTTTATACAGCCTTAAGAATCACAAGATTGTTAGTACTGAAATAGGACTACAGTTGTTATTGTTTTTAATTTTAGTCCATATAAAACAGTTGCTACATTAAGATGATTTTGTTTAAATAATAGGCTACTAAAAATATTGTTTGTTCTATTAGCGTACCTATTTTGGAAAGGGCTATTACCTTAGGTGGCATAGACCTAGACCTAAAACTGATTTACTTTTTTATTTTAATAATTCGTTTTTTTTTTAGTGTCATTAAAAACGTTAACTTGAGTAATTTTGGTGAAATTTAGCGAGAGCTGGATAAACTTGATTGAGTTCACAAACAAGCAGATTTGGGTCATGGGAATGGGGAGTTATTTTATGTTATTCATGAATTGTTTTTTTTTCAATTTTTGTCCTTAAAATCCAGTCAGACAAATTTTAATTATTTGCTCAGTCTGCAGCTTAGCTACGGCAATGAATAGAGAAACTTATAAAAAGCGAAACTGCCATATTAAAAGAGGCGACGCTACGAAGATTCCCGCTTGCGGTAGTTCACAAAGATTTATGTAGGAAGTGCTAGTGTCGCCATCCAAGTGTTCGTGAACTGGCAAATCTTCGTGCTAGTGGCAATCTTTGTAGCCTCGCCTCTTTTAATATGATGGTTTCACTTCTTATTTAAGGCTCTGTATTAATTGGCTGCGGGTGGGGATATTTGTTTGGTTATGGTAGGCTACATGTTTCTCTCACATGACTTTAGACAAAGTTTTGCAAATATCCCTTCTTCAAGTAAGTTATAGTTTATTAATTCATAACCAAATTCACATTTATTATTCCAGCGACTTTACTGTGAGGTATAGAGTGGTTGATGACTATAAACAAGAAACTTACATTTCATTGTTGTCGGACTGGGACTTGGATGCGGCATTTCTCAGGTGAGATGATTGGCAATTTCAAATTAAAATATTTGAACAAACTTGCCTTCAAAAAGCACTTAAATATTGATCAGCTTACGTAGTAAGTGGAGGGTTATGGAATTCCTTTTTAAAAGGCTGTAATACCCTAAGTGGGCAGATTTTAAATCCCAATCAATGCTACAAATAAATCCTAGCAATGAATAATGAATAATGAATAATGTAAAATAAGGCAATGGGTCAGCGGCAGCAGGGCCGTATTTAGAATCCGAACCATGAGGTTCCCAGGGGCTCACACCTATTCTGATTCTTCAAGCGCTGGAGCTTTGAAGGTTTAGAAATACACGTAGTATTGCTTCAATGTGATGATCTTGACCTTTTGTTTTCTAAGATTTGATCAGTGAATAGTCCTACAGTACTGGCTAGTAAATAATTCCATTTGATTTTTTTATAATATTAAGGTTATTCAGGCCAAAACCTTTTACTTCGGGTTGTATTAAAAAAGGTTGACCTTAAGGTCTCGGAACAAAATCAGTTTGGGTCAAAAGTGGGTTTCTTCGGAATTAAAAAAAATTATTAATTGTTATACAATGATCAGATCACACTTGGCAAAATCGCTAACAAAGAACTAAATTGAAAATGGACACCATTGTCCTTGGGCACGTGGAAAATGGTGAGCGTCCCCTGCGGTTGCAGTGAAATAGTGAACTTCTGCTATCGTGAAGGAATCATGAACGTCTCCTGCAGTCACGACGAAATAGAGATCATCTTCCGCATTTGGGAAGTAATTTTTATCATCCGCGAGTATGGCGAAATCATGAACTTCTCTTTCTTTCTCTGTTCGTGGAGTAATCGTGAATATATTTAGCTGTTAGTAACTTCATGATCGTGTCACGTAATCTTGGCAAAATCGTGATTTTGGATCGTGCAATCTTCGTAGACGCTTTTGTCTATCGTGAAAAAGTTGCGCTTCAAATTTAATCCCCATACCTCATCATCTGTGAAAAATTAACTTTTCACTAGAAAAAAGATTCCTTTGAGGGGAAGTGAGGTCCCTGGCAAACACCGTTTGTGAAATACGGCCCTGGAGTGCCAGTCTCTGCCTTACCAATTGCCATTTGAAAAGGATACGTTGTTAGTTAGCATAATCATTGGAGCAATCAACAATTTGTAGAAAAACCAAATCATATTCCCTTAGTTATTGTACTTTTAAATTACACAACTTCAGTGGGTGTTTGTAAAAGAACTAAATTTGTTATAGAACTCAGGTAAAAAAGTGAATAAAAGAAGTGCATAACTTCAACAATATGTATTGCTCTCACGTATCCTATTGTATCGCAGCTCATCGGAGCCTCATCTAGACCTTCGTGTAGACTTGAAGCCGTTCTCAGAGTCCCGCGAGTGTGAGGAATGTTGGGTAGAGAGTTCCAACCCAGAACCTCTACCAGCCGAGAGCAGACAGACTCGGCTGCAAGGACTTATCATGAACCAGGTGAGTAAAGTCGAACATTTGGTTCATTATCTATGTAGGCTAATGTTATTGAAACAAGGTTACGATATCTCCTTCTCAATCCTTGTGTGATTGTTGATTGCTAATAGGGGTTTTCTTTAAAAAAAAAGCTGTGGGATGTAGGAAAAAATCAACATAATGCTATTTTGATTGGGAAAAATCTGACATGTTAAACCAATTTTTCAGTGAAAAACTTAAACAAGCAAAATGGAAATTTTCTCAGTCTGCAGGTTTGTTGTGGCAGGGATATTTATTGCTAATTGCTCTTTCTTCAATGAAGATGAATGACTAACAATAAAATGCAAACATCTCTATGTTGTTCTAAATGAGAAAATATATAATATTGGTTTCAATTTACTGGTTGATAAGGTTGAGGATAGCACAAACTAGGAGAAACATTATCAGCTGTCCTCACCTGGCCAAGGGCAATGTCACCAGATAAGGACTAAGTGAGTTGTATCCTTCCTCAGTGTGGGTAACTTATCAGGTGACCTTCGTCTGTAGGCTCAGGTTTCCAAAATGTCTATAGTGTGTATAAAACATTGTTATGCATGTGTTTTTTACAAAATGTTATTGTACCATCTATAAATTCATACTAGAAAACGAGATCTCCCAGGCTTAGCTCCCCAAATGTTCATATTCATATTGATTTGAGATGGGGATGCCACTTATGTGCGTTTTTAACCCAAATATGGGTGAAGGATGAGTGTTATAATGGAGTGTGTGATGCTTTGTGTATTGTTACTGACTAAGACCAGCTGTTTCATAGTCCGGTGGCTTAGGGCTTTAGTTTACGAATACCGTTACATGGCGGATAAAAGCATCAAATTTGGTATGAAGGTACTTTAGGGTATACTAATACATTTTAGCCTAGGAGCCCTTTTGAAATTTTAAATATTTCCACACACGGCACCAAAATCCAAAATGGCCGACAAATACGACAAAAACTACCTTTGAAACAATCCATTCTCCTGTTAACTCTAAAATATAACTTAAATCCAACCAAGACTCTACAATACAAATCAATACAAATTTATCTTTTCCTTGCTCATCTTAAATAATTAAAATGGCTGCCATTTTGATTTGGAGTGGGATATTGACCTCAGGTTTGCACCATTCAACTTCTCTTAGTAAACCCTTTAAAATGAGTGGTCACATGATAGGTGTTAACATTTGAAAATTTGGGGCTGCTCCCAAAATACCCCATTCTGGGGGCTGGGGCAAAGTTGTAACTTTGATGAAAAAGTGCAATTTTTTATTTTGTAAATATAGCCGAGTTTGGTTTTCCTACTGCAACGCGTTAAAAAGTTTACTGGGGGCTCTATACTTTTGCCTAACTCTGTAGATCTAAAAAAAAAATAGATGATAATTGTAAAAATAAACAAAATAAAATTATAAAAATAGATAAAGCCCTGCACACACCAGAGCGATACTCCGTGCGATACTGGAGCGGGCGCGATACTTTTTCTTGGAAATTCGCTTGCGATACCAGTGGTCCGTGCGATACCATGGAGCCTTATGGAGCCGCACACACCAGAGCGAACCACGATACGCGATACCGAGGTGAATGCGATACCGTAGCGATAGTATCGCGGTAACGCTGCATGCACTGTTTGCGGCGCTGTATCGCGGCGATACCAATGTGGCCAAACGATGAACTACTCAGTTTTGTCTTTTCTCTGTACGTGTAAAAACAACAACAACATGTCGTGTATCACCGAATATTTACTTGAAGTTGTTTATACATACCCGATGCACTATGATTTATATCACGTTTTAGCAACTAGAAATTTAAAATAGGGTTCGTCTTCATTATTTGTTATTAAACTACATTTTTCTGAAGAATTTACAATAGAATTCCCAAACATTCAGACATCTTGGATTTATTAATTATTTTAACACTTAAACATTTGATTTGAATTATCAATAGTTTTTCCAGTGCCGCTGTCAATCCAATTTTGGGTGATTGCTGACAGAATAACGTATTTAATACTGGTTTGATGATGATTCGAAAATTACTATTTAATAGTTCATACAATATTGTATTAGCTATAGCACAGCATATTGTAGAGGTTTTGATAGTCAGACTAGACGAACTAGAGAGATGGTAGGTAATGGAGGTGGGTGGAATGCTAATTGATCCGTCAACTCATTGAAAAATATATCTACATACCAGTCTTACCTTAAAGTGATTGGGGAGCGAGCTGGCGTAGTGGTTAGAGCGCGGGACTTCAGTCCCTGAGGTCCCGGGTTCGATCCCCGCCAATTCACCAATGGATTTTATCTAACTGGTAATGCCGCAACCCCTAGGTCTAGCCTGAAGTAATGTGAAAAACAACCCCAGGCTCGTGCCTAGCGTCCTAGGAAAAAAAACCTTAAAGTGATTGCTAGCCGTTCTTCGGCACTCGCTTTACGGTAGTGGGTACTTTCCTTTTCGATAATGCCAGAAATCAAACTCAGCAACTCGTCAAAACATTCCTGATTAATTCCAGAATATGTAGAATCTTGTTTCATCTTTTCTTAACTGGGTCATGAGCGTATATGGTACTCGCCAAATTGCAGCCGTTCTTTATTTATGTCGTATACCCACATTTTCCTTGCTCTCTCATCTTCTATAATAGCACGGCTAGTTAACAGAAAAGCTTCTTCTTCATCAATAGTTTTAAGTTTACACACAGTACAGTATACAAACACTAACTATAACACAACACTTTTGCAACTAGAGAGTCTCACAACCACCGCACCCTCTGAGGTGTACTGGCTTTCCCGCGCGTCCCTTTCCCGCTCTGGTGTGGAAGCACCTGTTTTCGCTGCGATATTATCGCCCAAATATCGCAGATAAAATTCTAAGAATAGTATCGCGCCACTCTAGCGATAAAGTATCGCTCTGGTGTGTACAGGGCTTGTATAAAAGGAAACCAATCTAAATGTTGACATATGATACTAACAAAGTCCACACCAAATTTGCAGTAAATTGGTTTTACCATTTTTTGCGCAATGTACAGTACAGGTTTCGTTACATAAATACTCACACACATACCCCCACATACACACAGATACACATAAGATTTCTTTCATATAATTTAGTATGTCTCCGGTTTGTATTGTAGAGTCTTGGTTGGATTTAAGTTATATTTTAGGGTTAACAGGAGAATGGATTGTTTTAAAGGTAGTTTTTGTCGTATTTGTCGGCCATTTTGGATTTTGGTGCCGTGTGTGGAAATATTTAAAATTTTTAAAAGGGCTCCTAGGCTAAAATTTATTAGTATACCCTAAGGTACCTTCATACCAAATTTGATGCTTTTATCCTCCATGTAACGGTAATTACACTAAGCCACCGGACTATTCATTAGTCAGGACCATTTATTGAAAGCCCAGTGACCAACTGGCGACCTTTTGATTACTAGGCAAGCACTGACCACTGAGCTATACAGCTAATAAATGCCTTTAAAAAAATATGTTTTTGTACATTATAATTAATATCAAAATGTTGATTAAATTAATTTCACACTACTGGTAGTTGATTATAATTGATAAAATAGTTTGAAAAATAGTAAACAACTACTAAACAACCATACTCATTACTAAAACTGTTAATGAAACCACATAATCTACTCAAGAGACATCTAAAAGATCTCCTGAATCTCCTAAGGAAAATAATTTGTTTCTATCTAGTAAAATACACGAAGATTGGATGTTATTACAGTATTTACAAAAGAACGTACAAATTCTTGATTTACCTGTAACTTTTTTAGGTTGAGAGGACTTTTAACATGGTACAGAGGGCGTTGAACTTGGTTGAAGAACAAACAGCGTCGTTTGCACCTGCCCCTAGCAGCATCCCACCCCGCCCTCCACTCACGGACGCTGAGTTCCGCACATTCCTAGACCCGATCGGACAAGTGGTGCGAGATAAGGAACTAAGAGCAGTCATTTATTTCGGAGGAATTGAACCGAGTCTCAGGTATTGTACAATGATAAATCCCTAGACTACTAATATAACCACTGGTTACTTGGTCAACTATTTACTGATATTTCACATCTATTGTGTTAGTAATTACCAAAACCTTAAAACCGTCTACCCGTTCTGACCTGGTCTTTTCTACTTATTTTTAATTTCAGACAGCAACATAAAGAAGCATATTTCAAAATGCCTAGGTTTTTCAAAATTCAAGCACCATGGCTTTATTATTAAAAACTGTTGTCTATGATTTTTGTTTCGTTGCGTAGAGTTTAGAGTTTATTATAAAGCTATTTTCTCTCATCCAATCATGTGATTGGATTTAAATAGGGGGAAAATACAGACATGACTATGATTAAACTCACAAAGATTTCAATCTACATCCTTGTTAAATGTAATTGTGATTTTTTTCCAGGAAGGTTATCTGGAAGCACATTTTAAATGTCTACCCAGAAGGTATGTCAGGAAAAGAACGAATGGACTACATGAAAAGAAAATCTGCAGAATACGAGAAACTTAGAGATACCTGGAGAGAAATGCTGAAAAACGGCCAGGTTGGTAACACTCTTTGTTGTTGAGGTTCAATCCATAGCTCAATCTAGTAGTTTCGTAAAGGATGATATACGAGTATGTACTTTAAATATCTAATAGATGTGATGTTGATTCTTTCCATGAGTGATTTATGTTTCCATGTCAGAACATCAGCGTCATTACCTCTGTGACTCTTCTATTCACAAAAGAAGTATTTGTAAACTTCTGTTCAGCATTTGTGCACACTATACTGAAGTCTATCTACTGCATGGCAAAAAGCACATCCCGTCAGATGTGTCGACTCTGATTCCTTTCAAGTTTTAAGACTAGCGACTATCTACATTATTGTAAAAAAGCTTTATATCAATGTTCCAGATGGTAGGAGACTTGGCTTATGTCACCAGTATGGTACGCAAGGATGTTCTGCGAACAGACAGACACCATGTGTTTTACGCAGGAAGTGATGACAACAAAAACATAGCTGCTCTCTTCAACATTTTAACAACGTAAGTGCGCTTTAATTTCCTGTATATTGTCTGATTTTATTTTTTAATCTAATTTTTAGTGAACTTGAGGGTATCAGGCAGTACAACTTATTAAAATGACCATATTTATTATTTTTGTGGGTGCAGCCCAAGTTTATTCAAATAATTATTTAGACCATTAGGCCAGGCCTAAAGACAACCATACTTTCTCTTTATCTCATACAGTAGACTCCCTCTTATCCGGACTTTTTTTCACCGAATGTCGGTTTAACCGGACTACACTCTGCGGAAATTACGTCTCTTTTTTTAACCGGATAATTTTTATCAGCACATGGGTTTAACCAGACTAGATTGGCAGGAAGTAGGCGGTACTAAAACCACTGTTCTCGTGGGTAAGATTTAGAACCATTGATCACGTGTCTAAATACGATGCTCTCCTAAATTTAAGTCAAATACTGTATACAGTATGCATTTAAACAGTCCTGTTTTATAGTTTTTAGGGACGTCAGTTTAACCGGAAAACTTGTCATAGCTATCTAAGCTACTTAGTCTCTTGAACATTCCTTACGTTTGTTTTACTATAATTATTTACATCAAACCCAGTACGAAATGAGGAATGTTTTTATAGTTGAAACTATTTTTATAGATTGTTTACTTTGCAGGTACGCTCTCAATCACCCGGCCGTCAGCTACTGTCAAGGCATGTCAGATCTCGCGTCTCCGCTGTTAGTCACGATGAATGACGAGGCTCAAGCGTACATCTGTTTCTGTGCGCTGATGAGACGACTCGCTCCCAACTTTCTGCTCGACGGTATCACTATGACTCAGAGGTTTCAACATCTAGCGGAGGGCCTTATGTATTACGACAACGCTTTCTACTCATACCTCAAATCACATCAGGTATTTTATTTATACGAGTAGTTCTGGCAATAATTTAAAATGGTAAAGTTTTGCAAATCATGGGAGAAGTAAACTATCTGCAGTTAAAATAAAACTGTTTAAAGTTTAACAATCTAAATCACTTACACACTTTCAGGGTAAAGGATGAGAACGAAAACTTGCCTGCATGTTGGGTTTTAAAGAACACAACAACAATGGAAAATGTCTAAATTTAATTAAAAAATAATGATATATTCACACTTTGCATCCCTACAGTAACATATAAAGGCTGTTATATTGGCTATAGACACCAGACAGTAACATACCCAAACTTGCACTGTCAATTCTACCTATGTGAGCATAGCTTTACAAAAACAGCGGAAAACTGCTTCTGACAGTCACTCAACTTGAAAGAGGAGCTTAAGATTGATTAATGGATACAATTTTTTTTCCTTACAAAAGATCAATTCTTAAAGAAGTTTAAATTCATCTGAACTTAAGTAGACCTATCTGGGCCAAATGGACCTATCTGGACCCTTTAACACTTCTTCAGGTCTGCAAAAAGAAGAAATTGTTGCATATAATAAGAAAATTTGTCGATGTAACATATTTATATATGTTTGACTAAATTTATTTAGAACTTACTTTTTAATCATGTCTGATATACAATCTTCATGTCACTATCTGCAAACAGCAAAATGTACAAGGAAATCACTTTCTCAGTGATTCCTATATCTTGTTTGTCATATATGAACAAGAATTTTACAGATATTGCTATTATTTAGTTGCTTACTTTCCAAAAAGTGTATAAAGGTCCATTTCCTATCCTGCGACTGTTACGACTCTAGCCGCGCGTCTAGAGCCGTACGGCTGGAGACGCTTGTCTCAATTCCTATGCCGCGACTCCTACGACTCCCACGACTAGTGACTAGTGAAATTGCACTACTGACCGTCATGGAATAAGCACAGTTGGCAGCGAATATATTACTTGGAGAAAGGGAGGAAAAGGAATTATTAATGTGCATGGTAAAAAACAATGAACAACCTAATCCATTGTTCATGGTACGGTGAAAATAGCGGTTTCAGAGTATTCTTATTCAGAGACATCTTCTTCGAGTATTGGGGGTGAACGTATGGGTGCTGACGAACCAGTTCCAATAACTTTGAATCATCTATGAAGGTACACACCTCAAACTTCGTATGTATAAACTATAAATTTGTTACAGCCGCGCGACTGAACTGCTCACGGAGCAGTCCAGTCGCGACGGCTCTAGCCGCGCGGCTTGAGTCGCTTCAGTCGCGCGGCTGTAGACGCTCGAAAGGAAACGGTTGCATTTACTTTGCATTAAAGCAGTCATTTATTTCAGCCAGAGTTGTAACAGTCGCAGGATAGGAAATGGACCTTAAAAATATTCTTAAGTGTTTTAACTTTTTTTGTATTTCAATACCAAAAGTAACTGTTTACAACATTCCTTAATTCCAGACCCTCCAGACTATTGTCTCCAACTGAAATGTTCTTCCATAAACAGACTTTACAGTACATCATTTGTAACTTTTATTAATATTCTGTGTTGTCATAGTAAAAAAATCATCTGTCATTATAAAAAGGTTAATGTAAAATGTTTACTTGAGCGATTTATTTTTCCATTAGGCTGACGATCTGCTTTTCTGCTACCGTTGGCTGCTGCTCGAAATGAAGCGAGAGTTTGCGTTTGAAGATGCGTTGAGGATGCTGGAAGTGATGTGGAGTTCTCTGCCACCTTCGCCTCCAGAGAAGGAGATCAAACTGTTTGATCAGGAGTTTCTCGGAACTCCCCCTCCTCCGAGTCCTCGACCTAGGGAGAATGCTTACACAAAGATCTGCGCTCTGCGACGACAAACTTCCGGGGCATCACTCAGTCTCGATGAAGGCATTAGCTTAAAAGCCAAACACGCCAAACAACCAAAAACACGACCTTTCAACAGCCTTGACGAGGCAGCTTTGGAGAAAACACAAGAAGTTGAAAAGCCTCCTCCTGGCCGTGTAGTTAAAAACCTGAACGAGTTCCTCAGTTTCGATAAGAGTGGCAAACTCAAAAAAGTTAACACAAATGCTGAGAAAAAGCGAGAAAGCGAGGATGACGGAAGTTCTCCGGATGATTCGACGGAGTATTTTCCGATGACAACTTCTATGACGAGAGAGTTGAGGTTGGAATTGGAGAGTTTGGACAGACACGTGTTTGGGAGCGACAAACGGAATCCAATGCTCGGAGACGAGGTGTTTGTGTGGGAGAATCCTTTGAGAACAGCTACGACGCCCGATGAACAAACAGAGCTAGAAATGGACGTGACTGTCGGGGAAATAATAGAAACAGATGGAAGTTCCGTTAAATCTGTTACACCAATTAGATTGTTGAAAAAACATGAGAGCGATACAACTACTTCTTCCAGAACTGAAAGTCCCTTGGACAACAGCCTGTCCAGTGACGGAACTTCGAGTCTGCTGGCTCGGAGAAAACAAACTTTAGAAGAAATAAATACAAACGTTAATGGAAACGTCTCCTCAGTGTCGAGGCCTTGTGACGATCTCAATTCTGACATTAGTGATTCCGTTAAAGCGAAAGGGAGTAATTTGCTTCCACGCCCGGACGTTTTCGGAGGTGGTAATCCATTTCTTATGTTTCTTTGCATTACAGTTTTGCTGCAACATCGAGATCTAATTATGCGAACTGGGATGGACTACAATGAAATGGCAATGCATTTCGATAAGATGGTCCGTAAACACGATGTCAACAAAGTGTTAAACATGGCTCGACAGATGTACGCTTCTTATTTGAAACAACATAGTGATATCCAATCACACCTCAGTGTATGATTTAACATATCTGATTTTAACTGATTATCCAAAGACTGGTCCTTTTTGATCTGTTGTTATTGTTTACTCATTCATTGAAATTTTTCTCAAAGAATATTGTAGAATTCCCACCAACGTAGATAAATTTGTATTATTACACCACAAGTGCTTTTTACCACCAATATTTTTACCAGACAATAAAAAATCATCCACATAATCAGAAAATGATTTCTTTACTAATTAATAATAGGCTAAAAATATCTGACATAAGTGACATAACATGTGTCTTGTTTCATCCTAAAAAAAGTAAAAATATAATTTTTTCCCAACTCATAAAAATTAACCAATGTTAATAGGCCTGCCAGCTGAATATTTTACATCGGGTGAACCGATTGCTTCTAGGTGTCGAGATTGCTTCGGCAAAAAACTCAAACAAACAAACAGTATATAACATAATTTTAACTCCCTTTACCAGGCTTACGTTTAATAACAAATGACTACTATGTTACAAGCATATAATCTCTTTGAGATAAAAGATGAAGGGTAAAAATAATATGACTAAAAGTGGGTATATTTTCCAGAAAATACCAAAAAATACATTCCATTATTCCATATGAAACATTTTAGTTAGTCAAGGGTAATGTTCTATTATATTAATTACGTTTAATCCTATAATGTATACTAAAATAGTTATGTTCAACAAATTAAAGTTTGGTTCTATCAAGCTGCGCACATTTATAAGCATTTAATAGATTTTTAAAGGATTCAACAGCACACAATTAATAATTAAGATACTGTATGGTTATTTTTTGTAACCTTTCCCGGTGAACATATAATCCTGATTACAAAACTCAGTAATTTTTTTTTGTCAATTGTAATATTTTCAAACTAGTTGCACAGTAAATTATTGTGATTGAAATTAATCACATTGTAGGTTAGAAATAGTTTGTAAATAGTAGCTTACACATTGTAGTTTATATGATTAATGAGGCTTAGGTCTCCGATGTATATTTCTCATAATATCATTAGTTAGTTGATCCTTTTTACTTGCTCAAAGTTGGCAATAATTTTGCAGGGATGGTTGTATGATTATAAATTCGATATTAGACCAACTTGCTTTAGGCTTAGCTTGACGATATAAACATCTTAGCCTGTAGAATGCAGATGCTTGAATCAATGAATCTATAAGATTCTCTGTTTACAATACCGGTTAATTCAGAAAAATATTTTTTACTCAAATAGTACTTTAGCACTGTTTTGTGATTTTAGTAAATTTTTACAATGTTGAGAAAGAAACATTTTACTCTAGTTTGTTAGTATTGTACTTAATTTTGTGATTATTATTGTAAAAGAGGAAATGCATTGCCTACTGATGAAAAGTCTTGTGATAGAGAAATTGTTCCAAATATTAAGTTTTAGCTCTAATTTAAGTTCTGTTTTTGTGTATGCTATTTTATTGCCTTTAACTATGGAATATTAACTAATTTAGTATGAGTGTTGTTTATGAAGTAAAGAATACATTCGATTGAGTTCTAAGACCTCTGAAACTAAGTTTGCATCTGACAAATTCATGCTTAATATGATTCAATACCTTATAAGTATTTGACATCTTTGGTACTATTGATTGTTTGAATCCGGCTGATTTAAACCTCCCTTAAGTCCACTTAGCTTGAAAGTGTAAATGATATGACTATCAAAAAAGAACTTTGTCTACATTCCCGAACTCCCACAACTAAAATCCGCAAAATTATTTCGTATTTGAGTTGTTGATGTTGATATTGTTAAGAAAACATATTTGCTGGAAGGATTGCAAAACTTATAACAAAATATGTGACTATAATTATTCAGACATTCCCAGACCACCCGGCCGGCTTATATAGCTCTGATATGAAAGCACATAGAAACCTAATTAATTGCAACTGTAACCTATTTTGACCCCAAGAAATTTGGCAAAACTATTTTTTAACCCAAAAAAAAGTGCTCAAAAGGGCAGATTTTTGGGGGTGGTGGGAAGGGGGTCGTGTTACACCTCTTTTTAAAGGTATTTGGGTCCTGAGTATTTTAATGAAAAGTTTTAAATTATTTTCATCCCTATTCACAGGGTGTTTAAAATCGTACAAAAAATAGACCTTTGAACTACTTTTCGCTTCAAATAGGTGAAATTTTGATAACACTTGTTTGCTAAATGAGCTTTAAAAAAAACTCTAGTTTCAACCCTTTTCTTAACTTGTTATTGTTACACTTTCAAATTTTTTTAAGTTTCAAAAGCTGGTATCTCGTAATTTTCAAGTGGCAATATGGGTATCATCACATACCACATTGTAGCCCTTAAAATTAGCTACAATTTTAGCATTTATTGTTTTTTTGGTACCTTTATTGGTTATGAACGAAAAAATTTAATTAAATTGGTTAGCTATAGCAAAATTAATATATTTTAATGGTTTATTAAATTCAAAGTGTTTGCTGTGTAAATGTACACGTCTAGGTTTCTATTTGATTTCATAACGGAGCTATAGAAGCTGGCCGGGTGGTCTGGGACATCTGTATAAGAATCCATTACTACCAAGCACCAACGCATTGAGTAGGACTGTCAGATGCATACTGTTTGTGGAATTGAACTGGTAAACTGAAAACCTTTAAACAACCAAATTGGTCCAATTATATTTTACAAGGCAATTATTTAATGTTTTAAATAATTTCCTGGTACTAATACTGTGAGGGTTGATTTAAGTTTTTGAACAGAAGGTTTAAAATTCAGACATATAGTTTGATTTTGTAACTCACCAAACCACTATACTGCCATAACCTTAATAGGTTAGTAGGCCTATACCATAGATAAAACATACTCCCTTAGTAGATTTCTCATCGTAATGGAACAGCTGAAGACAATTTTATTGTTAGTTCTGTACGGTTTATGTAGAGGTCGTGTTTTGTTTACAATTTGTTTCCCGTTAATACAGTCATTTAAAACCTCGTTTAACCAAATAATACGATCTAATCATAAACAATAAATTGTCCCCTAGTTATTTAACCAAAAAGTAAAGCACAAATCAAGAAATTAACCCTAAAGTAATAGAAACAAAATTTCGTCGACACTAGTGCCCAGTGTGGCGTACATGAACTAGACATGAAAAACGAGCTTCAAAATTTACAATAGGATGAGAAGTCTACTTGTGTTGATTAGTCTATGCCTATACTTATTAATTTTTATACTTTTACGAGAAGGAAGCATCTGAATACGCAGTATGATCAAATACATATTTACTCAAAATTAACACTCCAAAGTGTGAGAAACTGTAATCTAAATACTTAGGAAATGTTTTTTATTTCATTGCCTGTAATACAGTTTGCAGAGTTCATGAGCTGGATTTACACTAAACCCATTCTCATTCGGGTGTAACACTTTTAACCATTCCATGAAATAAATTATTTCAATGATACTTTGTATTAAAATAAATCGAGAAAGTAAATCCTAGTGTACTGCATGTATATTTGTTGATACTTTTTGTGTGAAAAAGAAGGCTATACTTAAAAAGAATTAGTCAATAACTGTTTTAGTTCCTTATATACAAGTCTGAAAAACAACCTCAGGTAATCGAGGCTATCGTTTATCTATCAGCAATTCCAAACACCAAGATAAGGTTAACTTCTAATTGTCGTTGAGAAATGAAATAATTAGTATTAGTATTATCATTATCTAACTGTAGCAAAATTTGATTTGGTCCTACAGAATTTAGTAAAACCTTTCCATTCAAAATTATTTAATGTAATATAAGATGGAAATTGCATAGCATTTTTGTATCGTACTACTTTGGACGAGATTTTGAGATGTATATATTGTTACTTTTAATGAAGTGTTTTGTTAATTATCTTACAGTATTTATTTAATAACTAGATACCAAAGTTTAACCCTCGCTTGAATGCTGAAGAAGGTTGTAATAGGCATTATATTTATTTTGTATGTGATAATGTAATTAAATTGCAATTTTTAATGAACTGGGTTGGCCTATCAATTAATTAAACCCTTGCAACCCATTGCAAATTAAAGACTTATTACATTATAAATATTCTACTTGGATTGCTTATATGAGGCATATTTTATACATGGTGTACTTAAACATTAACCCTTTATAGTTTAGTGTTTGTAGTGGCAGAGACTATTAGGCTGCTATTAGCCGTGAGCAACTAGCTGGGACAACTCATTTAGGCAACTTCAGAATAGGGTTATTAGACAAAAACTATCCTGCTTTACATGGACTCATTCACACGCTTTAAAAGTCAAAGATGTTATTGAGCAGTACGGAGCTCCTTTTTCTTCTTCACCTTCTCTTGAAAAATGTAGGTGGAGAATCTGCAGATTTTGACAATGCCCTATGCTATGGACTAAAGTCAGTAAAGCACACTTTTTGATGACCTTAGTGTGGATAAATGGAATTTGTTTACAGTCACTACTACTTCCCTGATGTATAAAACTTCATTTGATGAGTTACTTACAGGTGATGTTTGGATAAATAGAATTGTTATGCGCATGCAGTCAGTTGCTCACAAAATTCACACCCGTGTTGCTTACATGGATAATAGGCACTATACTCCAATGCCCCCCTGACGACGAGGGGACTAAAACGGTTGTAGGTGCCGGCAGTCTCCGAAAAAATTTTAAATCTAAAACGAGGTGTTAGCCCGTCCTACGTACGGGAATTCAGTAGTCAGTTAAAACCGTGTACAATTCAGATCAGCTAGTTTACAAATATAAAGACAAAGTTTCTTGCAGTTTTAATGTGAAAAATCATCTTGTAAACAAATGTTGTGTGATCAAATAAATATGTTTTTATTCCATCATAGGCCTATACGATATGCATTTTAAATCCGATAATTTTACAATAAAACAGCAATTCTGCAATTTTTACTATGTGAAAAGCGTTGAAGTGAGATTTGCAGCCGATTCGCACAGACGCACACTGATTATAAGTAGCCTACAGTAGAGAGAGTAATAGTCAATTGAGAAGTGTATAGACCTAGTCAACGATACCACCTTCCATAGCATACCTGCCTCTTCCATAATTATTATCACCACAATACAACTACTATACACAATTCCCAGTAGGCCTGAATAGAAACAACCTAAAATAAAACTATAGTATCCAATAAAATTCACAGTACACATAATTTAACTTTGGTGTCCTAACATCAAAACTAATAGTCCCACCTATCCTTTATATCAATTTCACTGCATTAATTACTAAATAAATAAGCGTAAACAAAGAAAAGTAAAAACAATAACAGTTTGTTTTGAAACAGCTGTTTGGTTCATTTGAAAAAAGAACTGGTCACATGTAGCAGGAATATAAAAAGTAAACACGCTAGTAAAGCTAATGACGTAATTGTCAATGTTTATTATCCATACCGTTATCAGTTCTATCCTTGATAATTACCCACCCTCATTGAATAAATGTACATCATAATTTCCCATATTAGTTCATTTAAACTACAATATATAGTAGTACAATAGTTGAAAGAAAAGTGATATTTTCACGTTTGGGGGCGCTGATATAGGC